TCTTTCCCTGGAGCATACTCAGAGACAGAGGGACCAGACCTGGCACCCTACCGACCTCTGACTCTTCAGAGCTGAAGAAAAGGAGCTCCCCATTAGGTCTGACACCTTCCGTCTGCTATTACTGAAACCAGCGCCATGGCTGAACAGTTTTCCAATCCCTGTCATAGTCATCTATACTATCTACAGCTCTTCACAGAACTTCTGTGATCCAAGCTGGCTGCCCCTCCCCTTCCCATGTCCCTCGCTTGTTCACTCCGTAATATTGGAAAACCCTTGACTTGGGGCATGCAGCGGGTGGATACATACTGCACTATGTCCGCAAAAGCCGTGAGCAATGGCTTGCACTGGTACTCGATACCATGTTTGGCACACAGGGACTTCACCAAAGGGGCCACCTTCCAGTAGTTGTGTCGAGGCATTGTAGGAAAAAGGCTGTGGGAAAAGAATATGGTGATTCAATGGCATCAGTCATCACCCCACAGAATTCCTGCCTCTTTTCGGTGCCTCAACCTCCCCTTGTGCCCATAGCCATCAGTGCTCTGCAGTGGTCCCTCTCACCTCACTTCAGTACCTGTACTAACCAGGAGGCTGGTAATACTCACTCCTGTGCCAGGTTACTCCTATCTGAAGCGGTGTCGGTGCTCACCCATGCTCCAAAAATTTTCTGACTCATCACTTGGAGTTCCCATTCCATCCCCATAGAAAAAGCACCAAATTTACCCCCATTATCTTTTGTTCTTGTATGAGCTGATAGAGGCTCTTCAGACTTAGTGTAACTAGCGCTCCTTGAAATTCCCTCACATCCCCAACCCATGCTTCAACTCACTGGTGCTCGATTTGGAAGTTCAGATGTCCGCTAAACCAGTCATTGAACAAGGACTGATGAACATTACAGGTTGCCTGGAGCTGAGAGACAAAAACAGCAACACGTAAGTATTGTTTTAGGAACGTCCCTTCTCTTACACATGCCGAACACAACAGTAAGCAGGTACACGTTCCTTATCGTCACATGCCTTCTAGCTGAATACAGCAACGCCAAGAGCTATCTCCAGTCAACACGAGATGGCCACGCTGTGATACACGATTGTTAGGGACATAATTGAGGAGAACAAACCTGCCTTTCCAGTGAGATAAGCCATAACAACCACAACTTTTACTTCTCTCACTTAAAAGAACTGTGTAATGGCTTCAGAATGAAACTACTACAGAGTGCACAGGAGAGACATCTGCGTCCTTCATGCAGGGAAAGCTCTCTATCTGAAGAGTATTGTAGCATCTCTAATTATTTTCCTTGAGGCATTTGAAGCCTCCATCCCACTTCTGCACCTTCTTTCTCTCACTAATCGCTCACTTCACACAGTGAGGACAAGCTGCTGACGTTTTCCTCTCTCGGTTCCCATCGCTTCTGCGATCAGCTCTTTCGGGCGTTACATACCCAGAACTATAACTTCTCACCCTCGAAGCCACACGTCTCTGGAAAGAAGGTCTTACCTGGGTAGAGAACCAGTCCATGTTCTTATCATAATCGATGTGCATTGGGATGTGATTCATTTGTGTAATCCAGACAAACCAGTTACTCTCTATAAACCTGTGCACACAAACACACACAAAACCATTACTGATCGCACACCTACGCCCTAACCAGTCAGTATAAAACACTTGTACACACACAAGCCAGCCGTTGCTTGATAAAACGAACACCGGGAACCCCCAACATCTGGTCAGCAGATCAGACCTACACACACCTTCTACCTTCTACACAGACACTTTCTACCTTCTAAAGACACACGCCTGACAGCCAACAACCCCAGCCTTGCTGAAAGGCATAAGGAGACAGAAGAATAGGGAGTCGATGAGAAAGATGATAACCAGGAGGCTGAAGAAAAGCTGACGTAAAGGATCAATAGGAACCGAGTGAAGAAAACAGAGGAATTACAAGTTGAATGATACCTGACTAACAGATGAAGGCCCAGGATACCCTTCACCCCCAGTAAGGGCAAGTAGGTGAGAAAGAATCGGATGTAGAAAGTCAGCATCCAGGCCAGGTCCTGTAGTGTAGGGACCAGATAAAACTTCATTAAGAGGAAGAATTACTGGCTTCTGAATTTACCACCCACTTACGTGGTACTCCCTTTAAAACCTCCTATAATCTCTCACTGAGAGATTTTTTCCTCCCCAGCCCCACCACAAAGCAATCCGACATGCAGCTACTCCCCAGCCATTCCTGTGCTTGGGAATTATCCCGGTCTTATGAGCCCAGCACAGACCAAACACTAGAGAGGACACGCTCTAAAGCATCACGTTTTTCTCTGGGTCCAAAGAGAAAGCAAGTAGTGAGAAAACCAAAACCCTAGCCATTAAAAGAATTAAGAGTCCTGGTTTACCTCCATCTCATCCTTTTTTTCCTTCCTTTTCACATTTCTTGCAAACTCTTACTTCCCTCGTGCTCATTTTCTCCCAACTGTCCCACCTCCCAGGCAAGAATAAAACAGCCAAGATGCCTCATCTCTAACCCCTACAACTCAGAGAAGAGACATCTTTTTCCTGCATTTTTTCTAAAGTCCTTAAAAACCACGTTATTTCTCAAGGTCTTCGATTGTCCCCTAATAAACTACCTGCCTAACAACTCTGAACGCCTACTACACATCCCTTATTCCACTTCACACTGAACTGTGAGGATTTAGTTTCAGGGTACTTGAAAGCTACTTGATTTTTAATATATCATTTTGCAAATTGGAGGCACACTGAATCCTCCTCCACTCCCCCCCCACCCCGCGCCCCGATTTCTGCTACTTTTCCCCTTTTTCTGTGCCCCTAAGTTTTAATCGTATTGGTTTGGAAAAACAAAAAGGAGTGGTCAGGATGATCACTTCTACCTTAAACTAGACTCTTACGCTACCCGAAGGACAAGTTCTGTACGAACATCAACTCTGCAGGAGAAGGAACGCTTCCAGACCCTCACACACCCCCTGGACGGAGGCAGAACATCAGAGGGATTATTTCCCAGATCGTATACCCACACCCCTTGCCACAGGGATAGTCGGCTCAGAGTTCCTCCCTGTAATTTTTTGCGCTGAAATGTATCTGTAAAAGAAGAAGTCACCACTGGCAAACCGGCGCTGACTTACCACCCACTGTTTCCGCTGTATCACAAAGTAGAATATGTACCACTGGAAGTAAAGAGGCACCAGAGCCGGAGGACCAACTAGAGTGGAGAAACAGATTGCAGAGACATTAACCGTGTCCTTGTATCCCAGGGAGGTGGACTGGAAAAAGAAGGGGTTGAGGGAATGCTCTCCATAGAACTGCAAAAGGGTAGGGTTACTCACTGATGAAGAAGTACTGGTGCTGGTGGTTATAAGGCATGAATTTCTTCTTTTGTACACCAAGCTGTTAAAACAAGCAAATTACTCAGGCCGTGAAGACAGCTAAAGACATCTGTGCCTAAACTCTTACCTATGCTTTCGAAGAAATGCATACTTAGATACCTCCTAACCTTTGAAAGAGATGTCCGATCAAACCATGCTACCATCCACCATGCCACTGGCTTCATCATCCCCTGGAACATCAGTCTATGACGGCTACCATAAGTTTTCACCCCTGCCTTGGATGCACAAGAGCCTGGGTAGTCCCTTGCACCGCAGACAGCAACGTGCACTGGAAACTCTTTCCTTACAGAGGGCACAGTTGCCCGACAACACTTAAATCAAAAACCACATGGGGCACTGAGAACAGCTGGCTGCCAATATAGAGCTTCAGAAAAAAAGAAAACTCTATGGTACTATTAATAAAGATGACAGTGTGTAGATCTCCCACCTACTTGCAATTAATCTCCAAAGCAGAGAAATGAGCATCTAGACTTTAAACTGTGTCCACAGGAACAGGGGTCAATAGATTATCCTCCCTCTGAGAGTGCTAATTTTCCTGGGTTCACTGTATAAACACAGCAGATTGCATCACTGACTTCCTTAAGGAACTCCATTCTATCCTCGTACACGTCCAAACCAATTCCGGACAGCAACCCTCCCTTTATTTCAGTGCAAATCACAGCATTTAAGCCAGGCAACACTATGAATTTATGTAACCATTTTTTTGAAGGACGGACAAATGTTAAAGCCATTCATTTAACTTCAGAGTCGCACCAGAAATAAGAGTTGGACTCCAGATGGGACCCAGTCTGACACCCACTGTCAGCCTGAGACCACTGAAGTAACTTCTTTGATCAGTAATTGTAAATGTTCCAGATCGTCCCTGCTTGTCATCTGCTGCTTCATTTCCCAAAACACTACAATTAGTCAAAGCCGATCTCAGTAAAGAGAACAACTTGCAATCTTATCTTCATGCAACTGCAAGTCTCTTGTCAGAGAAACGTGAACTTGTAATCGTGACAAATATTTCACTCATTTGAAAACATAGCAAAAATAACGTCTATTGAAATTTTAAGAACACAAAAATGCCAGAAGTATTACTAAGGGATATTAGGGACCAGCGGAAGGCAAAGTAGCACTATATAAAATAGCAGGTCAACTTAAACCATTTTCTGGATGTATTTCTCATTTTACAGAAGCAGTTTTGGTGGGGTTTTTTAACCTTCAGAATAAATTTGGAAAATTTCAACCCATAGCAAGATTGTATTAGGGAAAAAAACATTAAAAACCAGTTGCAGCATAAAGTATACGGAAGCTGATGCGCCAGGATCTTTTCTCTTCTTGTTTCTCAAAGGCCATTAATGCCAAGCTGCACCTTCTCCAAATTCCTGAATTACAGAGACAGCTGATTAACCAAACGAGCTGGTCACTAGTCTCCAAGCTCTCTGCAGCTTTCCAAATTTGAATCCCAATGCTGTAACCTCCCAGCCTTCGGCAGTTCTCACCTCTACAGAGAGTGTTTTTCCCAAAGCAAAAAATAAGGGGTGCATGTTAACGTCAGGGTCCTTTCGGAAGCAGTTGGGTTTAGCGTGGTGTTGGAAGTGGAGGTGATTCCACCAGCTGGCTGGTGCTCCCTGCAGGAAGGGATGAGAAGAGAGTGCCGTAAAGAAGTTGTATCTTCTGCCCTTAGTCCTCCCTCCCCAGTAGTTCCTTGCATTTGCTTTCTTCTTATACTGAGGTTGGGTTTGACTGCCGAGCATCCCAGGCAAGGCTCTAGCAGACCCTCTCAGCACCGAATGCCCACCTTCAGATGGCCGATCACGAACTTGTGCACCCAGTGGTTCCACTTGGACTTGCTAAAGACTGAAAGGTGTCCAAAATCGTGCTGGAGCCAGCCAGCCTGGGCCTGGAATTATTAAAAAATAAATAAATAAGAAAACCAAAAAACAGTGCTGCTGGGGAAAAAGAAGCGTCAGGAGGCTCTGGATCTGAAAAGGGCTTTCTCTTCTCCCACTCCCACGCTCCTCACAACACACCCTCGGATGGCGAGAGCATTTCCACTACTAGGACCCAAGCCAAACACTTCTCTTTTACTACACACCAGTGCAGTCCTTGCCTAACAACTTTTAGTCCCAGATAGCTGTTTTCATGAGGAAGGCAAAAAATCACGGGGCGGGGGGGATGTGGAAGTGATGGAGCTCAGAAACAGCATTTATTCTCTTACAAAACTGCACTGAAACCGGCAACAAAGTCTCCTTTAAGGAGCAGCTTGCTGCTGCCTCCTCCGAGTACTTGTAATTCCAAGGGGATCAGCTGGCCACAGGAGAAATAGCTGGGGCTTTGAGAGCGGCTCTGCCCTCTCCTCTAACTCCCGGCAAGTTCCCATGGGAACGCGGTGGCTTGGCCCCTGCACAGCCCCTTCGAGCTCTGGCACAAGGGACCTCCGAAACGTAGCATGGCTTTCATTGTATGAAGAAGGCTGGGAATAAGGAGGGCTTTGACGGACTACGGGAACGAAAAAGCAGGGCAAAGTCTGCTCTACCAAAGCAGTATATCATGGCACTGTAATTTTGCCCCTTCGGAGGAACCCAGGGAGAAGGAGGATTTTGGGAAGTTCACGAAGAGAAGATTCCTCCTGCGCTAACGGCAATGAGTACCCGAGTCTCAAAAGGCTGGCTTTTGGTGTTTCTGGGGCTTCTTTTTGGCTAGCTGCTTACCTGGACAGTGCCTAGAAGCACTGCAGAGATGAGGAAAGGCACTGTGGATGCTCCAAAATACCAGATGGTGAGCCAAGCTGCAACATCCAACACCAAGATGTGACAAAGGTACAGGATGAAAAAGGTGCGGTTGGGGTTGAGAAGCCCCATCTTCTCGACGGTCGCGCGGAGTTCACGGAAATCTTCTACCAGCTTTTTCTGCGGGGAGACCCAAGCTGGTCAGACCCTGGCTGGTCTGAAAATGCCTCAGGAACTCAAAGGGGAGCCCAGTTTCCCCTCTCAAGGAGGTACTGTGGCAATGGGGAAAAGCTGAGGGTCACCTGGAGACAAATCTTCACTAAGACTACTAGTAATGACATGAAGTGAAAGGGAAGGTCCAGACCAACGCAGTGATTCCAGGAGATACTGTCATTTTGTGTACAGGGGATTCTGGCTGCCAGTGAGAGAAGTTAAATAGCACAATTTCAACCCAAATACCAAGTTTTTAGGATACTTACATTCTTGCTGGGCTCAAAGCTGGGTTGATCTGGTGCCAGTTCCCCAATCAAGAGTGGGCTCATGTACTTTCTCACTAGTGTCTTGTCAAGATGAAATGCTATGAAAGGATCCTGAAATACAGATATAGGAACAGGATGAAGAAAAACGATTGCTCAGGTGGCAGAAAAAGAAATATATTTCATGATACCCTGGACTCAGCAGAGAGCGACCCAACTAATGGAGCTGGCTGAACCAGATTTTACTGCCACAAATCTTACCGCTTTCTTCACACCATAAAGGATCATTTGAAGCTGAATCTTTTTTCATCTTCAAGGTCATCTCCAATCTAAACGACTCTACGATTCTACGAATTCTCTGTATCATTTTCTATCTGGACGCTGTTAAGTACAGGTCACCAAGAAATATCCGCTCACTCCCCTCTTACTTCTGAATCTGAAAATTTTATATCTTGTTGAACTTCAAGATACATCATATCAAGCACATACTCCCCTATTTTGTCTTTACCTTCCATGGCATTTTTCCTCAGGCCCCATACCCTGAAATGAAAGTCTGACTAGGGAGAAGGGCGAGATGTTGGCAGAAAAACTGAATCAGCTAGCTGAACTGGGAAAAATAATGGGACAAGCAGGACACAGACAGGTGACGGCAGCTTCTGGTGACCCACACCATCTCTCGAAAGCCTCACGTTGTTCCAAACATGCTTCCTTGGCAATCCCCGATGCCCACCCTGCCACATCTTCCTAGAATACTTTTGTTTTCTTCCTACCTGCCTCCTGTTCCCCAATCTGGTTCCCCTCCATGTTTCTGAAGAGTCCCAGGAAAAGTCCTCCTTACCATTCAGAAGATTCCCCATTAGCAAAAGCAGTTATTTTTATCATTTAAACATAATGGCAATCTCCATGGCAACCAGGCAGCCAGGTGGAAAAAAATCCCTACTGATTGTTATCACTACAGATTCCCTCGCTACATTTAGATTACAAATCCCCTGAGCACCCGCGGCACTTTGACATCTACTTCCTACCGGAGATCTCCCATTTAACTCCTTTTGCATATTCCTCTCCCGGTGGCCACATGAGCGTATACTTTACCATCTCCCTCAGCCTAAGGATGTTTTTTCCTTTCTGAGACAATATTTGCCCACGGCGTGTCAGTTTGGAAGCTTCCTGCACCACGCACTGTAATTACTAGCAGCACTATAATTACTAGCTCACCGTTGAATGCTTTTAAAAGAAATTATCCTTTTAAAAGATCTCTAGTCAAGAAAGGGGTTAAAAAAAACTGCTGGTGTTGCCAGCTGTCAGTCAGCCCTGTTGCATTTCAGATGTAGCATCCTCCCTGCCCAGGCTTATGTTTTAGAAGAGGAGAATGTACGTTTGCGTTCTCTCATTGGAAGAGGAACAAAAACGGGGAGGAGTACGCGAGCGGATCGGAGCAGGATGGTACCATACGGTTAGACCAATCCTTTCCATGGAGGCTGTAAAACCTGGCAGTGCAATCCTAACGGGAGGTTAAGGGACGGCTGATTGCAAATTCTAGAAATCAGAACACTTCAGTGGCGTTCGGCAAACTACAAGTGATCTTTCTTTCCTTTCCATTTTTTTCCCTGTTTTTGAGCAGTCCGATTCTTTTCATTTCCAGGACAAAACTATTAGAAAAACTGGAATTTACTTGGCTCAGGTTCCTGTGCGGTCAGCAGTTCAATTGCACCCAGCAGCGACACGGACGATAATGCCTAAAGAATGCGGCTGGCTGCAATCTGAGCAGCTAGCCCTCTTCAGCCCCGCGTGCTGGCCACCGGCACCGACCCGGTTCCGACGGGGCTTCGAAAACGCACGCGGGCATCCTGACCTCAGGACGTAGGTGCAAATTCACATGTTATCTTTGGCTTCCAACTATACGCATATGACGAAGGGAAGGAAAGCACCGGATCTCAAGTTTTATCTGTTCTGCTTAGGGCCAAAACTGGACTGAAACATAGTCCACCAAACCCAGTCTTGAGGTACCTTCAACATCCCACACCTGCCCTTGGGTCCACATACTTACATGTGCAGAAATGCCTTTTCTTTCGTGAAAGACGTAAGCGGACGAAGGAAGGAAAGACCCTCCCAAGATGACCCCGCACCCTGCTACCCATCCGAAGGACGGTCACTCCGCTTTGCAACAGCCCCTGCCCTTCGGACATCAATGATTTGGGGGGGGTTAAGACCGAAACCCGACTTTCCGTAACGTTTTGCGCTAGTGCCATCCCTTGCAAACATCGTGCTGGGTTTTTAAGGTTGAGAGTCCTGCCTCTACCCCGAGTATCCTTCATCCAGCCCTCCCCGGGATGCCCTGCAAGAGCCGG